AGCCGCCGGAGGCGGCCAGGGCGCCCATGCTGGAGAGGAGGAGGGGAGCAGTGAAGGAGGCTCCCCACCCTAGAATGCAGGGAAAAACCTTGTGACTTCCTCACAGCGGCACACCAGAACACCCCCAAAGCAACGGGGCACAGATAGGATTAAGAAAAGAGCGATAGGCGAAGCCCACCCCGAGAGAAATGGATGCAGAACACCACGTGTGCACACCGCCCAGAACCAAAACAAACTCCCACGATGCATGCGCCGAACGTGAAAGAAAAGTAGCCCAACAAGGCAAGAAGTAGCCCAACAAGGTGAGAAGTAGCCCAACAAGGCGACAAGGAGCCCAACAAGGGGACAAGGAGCCCAACCGGCAACAAGGAGCCTAACCGGCAACAAGGAGCCCAACCGGCAACAAGGAGCCCAAACTGCTACAAGGAGCCCAAACCACTACAAAGGAGCGCAAATGGCTACAAAGGAGCACAAACAGCTACAAGAAGTGCAAACGGCTACAAGGACCCAGTATGGAGGCAAACTCCGGGACACGCAGGAGGTAAGCCGCAAAGGCCAACCGCACCGCAGGCGAAGAGATGCGGGTAGCCGAAAACCTCCGGAAGACGGAACCGAAAAACCTCAGGGACACGGAACCAAACCCAGGGAGGAGCAGAACCCAAGCCCAAATCGTACGCAGAGGGGAGAAAGAAAACCCCACTCCTCGCAACAGTAAGCCCCGCTCAGAAGGACGGAAATCCAGGCGGGGCGCAATGGAGCCCCAGGCCCCCAAGGTCGCTCCTCCCCAACCCCAGGAGCCTCTACACCAGGCCCCAGGGCCGAGTCGACCTCCAAAGCCCCGGCCCCACAAGAAAAAGCCGGGGCAGCCGAGAGAGCTGGAAGAGAAGGGGCCCACTGGTCAGACCCCGGAGCATCGGCCGGAGGAACAGACTCGAATGCCTCCGCAGCCACCCCGGACGGGGCAACCCCCGAAACTGCACAAGTCTCAGAACCTCTAACCCCGCCCCAACCTCGAAGCCTGCAGATGCGTAGGGGCCAGAAGCAGGAGGGGAAAAAACAACGGGGGAGTGGAAGGAACCAAGGCCGAAGCGACCAAAACCCCCAAGTCTGGGTCCCTACACAAGCGGAGCAGCATCGGGGCGTCCGGGGAAGCGACAAACCCGAGCGCGTTGCAACACCCTACCATGCAACGCGTGAGCTGCCTGCACCCAAGGAAATCCATCAGCAGACTGGGTGAATGGAATCACGAACAAGCAACAAAGCTCGCAGGACTCAGGGTCGAATGTGTCACCGACCCAACAGGCAGCATGACGGAGGCAAAAACAAGGAGAGTCACTCTGAGACAAAGGGACAGAGAACCCTCAACTCGCACAAAGCGAGAGGGGACGCAAGGGTCTCCACTATCGGACCCGAGAGCCCCCGGGGGGTTTCCAGGGCCCCTAGACTGGGTCTGCTAAGGGTTATCCCAAGCAGGGCACTGCTAACCGGCGCCCCAAACTACCAAGCAAACTGCTAAAGCTGAACCCACGGGACGTGTCCACCTGTGAGGGCGAAGCAGGGGGCGCCACCACACAAACGAACCTAATATAAGGGGGGGGGGGACACAAGGCAGACCCCCCTACCAGGCAAAAACAAATATAAAAGAAAAACCACACAAGCGGACAACGTTCCCAGAGGGAACAGAGCCGGCCGCTGTCATAGGTGAAAACTAGCTATGTAGTACCCTGCGCCCCACCAGTGCTATAACTACCACTTACCCTAAGGGAAACAAGGGAGTAAACCCCAAAACCCTCGGGGCCGCCAAACGCCAAGCAGCGAAAAGCAATCAGAGGTAGACCCAAGGTGACTTGTGGAAGGCAACCCCAAGCCCGAAGGGCGGTACTTACAGGGCACTCAGGGAAGGTGACCCTAAGCACATGCAGCCTGAGTACCTGAGAATACTACTCCCAGCTCATACGACCACCATAAGAGCAGCACTGCAAACAAGTCACAGCACTGAGACAAGACTGGAGCTGGAGCCACATGACCGTGCATTATCCCATCAGCCGAGGAACTGAGGCGGGGATCGCCGGTGCGGGGGTCTGAGGCTCCCCCTTCCCCCTTCCGGGGAGGGGGAAGCTGCGCAGACATGCGGCGCAGCTCGTGTGACGTCATGCTTCTTAGTTCGTTTTCCTGGGGGAGTTCTGTCCACTCGTTTGTCGATTTTTGTTCTTAACCAGAATAGGGGTTTGTTGTGTGGCGCTTACCTTTCTGGGTGCCTGTCCCGGTCGATGGCAGATATAGAATGCTCCAAATCACATGTGCATTTCTATGGGCCATTGCTCCCCATGCCTCTCTGAGGGGGCCAGGTTCTGGCTCGTGGTCCCCAGTAGGCCTAGAACTCCACCCACATCGACTGATGCAAAATAGTTAGGGTATCCATATCAGCCATGGATAGCTCCGGGGAGCCATAGGGGCTCCCCCCAGAAAACCAGCGTTGAATGCAATGAAAAGCCATTTTCAGGGTGAGCCCCGGAGGCTCCCTGGAGCTTATCGGGCTAATGTATGTTATGTTAGACCGGGACATTAGCTATGGAGTTCAGACCTACCAGGGACCAGCGCCAGAACCTGGCCCCTTCAGATAGGTTTCAGGAAGCAATGGCCCTGGAAAACCCCATATGGTTGGGGGATTTCCTTATCTGCCATCGACCGGGGTTAGGCACCCAGAAAGGAAGGCGTAACAAAACAAACCCCACATGGTAAAAAACTACAACAAAAACCGAACAGAGAGATAGAAAACTCCCTACAATCCCAAGGAAAACAATCAAACAATCAATTTACTGCCGCGCCTGTCGTCCGCGCAGCCCTCCCCTCCTCGGGAGGGGGAGGGGGGGCCTCGGACCTCACCACACCGGCTGCCTTCAGTTCGGAAACTAGGCTTCAACCAACGTGAAAAATCCTGCCGACCAGATGGGAGGGAGGGTAGCCAGGGAGCCTCCGGGGCTCACCCAGAAAATGGCGTTTCATTACATTCAACGCTGGTTTTCTGTGAGGAGCCGCTACGGCTCCCTGGAGCTACATACCCAAAGAGAAGGAAAAAGGGGACTTACCCGGGAGGTGGCGGCCACAAACTCCTCAACGCGAAGTCGAGACAACTGGCTGCAACCTGCGACACAAAGCAACAAAAGAACGCCGAGGAGCAGGGACGTTCACCAAATAACGGGCGGCCAGGACCCTGTTCGACTTCCAAAATCCACGTGCCCGAATATGTGCCCAAGACATATTACCAAACATGGCAGCCAAAGCCACAAACTTCCTAACGTAATATGCGCGAGGATAGACCGCAGGCTGGCTAGACTTAATAACCCTGCGGACAACCTGGGTGACCCGAGCCCTGGAACAGGGAACGAGGGAAACCGGATCAACCCAAAGCGCATCCCCAGCCACCCCGGCTGAAGCGCGCAGGTAACGGCGAAGTGCTGCAACTGGACACAACACATGATGCACCCCCGGCCGAACCAAACAAGCATCAATGACCCATGGACCCCTCCAGAAAGCAGCCGTCTCGTTCTTCGCCAGAAAAGATGGAGACGGCTGCAAACGGACAAACCCACCCCCAGGACCAAAAGAGCAGAAACCCCTGCGCCGGAGGAGAGCATGAAGTTCCCCTACCCGGCTCCCAGAGGCCAATGCCAACAAAAACAAACCCTTGGAAAAACAAATCAGGAACTGAAGGAGCCACCACAAACCGAGGAGAGGAAAGATAGGAGAGCACCCTGTCCAAGGACCAGGACGGCTCAGGAGGCGCATGAGGAGGCCGGAGGTGAAACATAGCACGGGAAAGCTTACAAAACGGGGCGGATGTGAAGTCCACCCCGAAAGCTAGCTTGAGCGGCTCCGCCAGCGCCACACGATACGAGGCGACAGTATTAGGCATCAAATGACGGTCCTGAAAAAACCAAGAAAGAAAGGACAAAACAACCCGATACGAAAGAAAAGACAACCTACGAAGAGCCAGAAAATGGCAAAAAGAATGCCAGGAAACTTCATACTGTTGCCGAGACGAAGCTCTCAGGTGGGACACCATCAAAGAAGCCACCTGATCACCATAGAAATGGTGATACACCCGCGTCAAAAAGACCAGACGCGAAGAGCAGAGAAGAAGGTCGAACCAGCCTCGTACATGATCGGACCGACCTGCTGAAAGAGGCGGAGCCGCGGGAAACGTCCCAGGTTCGGGCACCCAGCCAAAAGCACCGGAAACCAAGGGGCCACGAGGATTACTCTCCCTGGGAATGTCTCCAACCGAACCAGAACCCGAAGCAACAGCTGGACTGGAGGAAAGAGGTACAGGTAACCCCACCTCGACCAGTCCTACCGAAAGGCATCCACCGCGAACTCTTTGCAGTCGAGGAAGGGCGTCACATATATTAGGAGACGCCGAGAGCACGCCAACGCAAAGAGGTCCACATCTGGGAGACCGTATGTCTGGCAGATCCAACGAAACGAGTCGTCGTCGACCGTCCACTCCGTGGACAGGGTTAATAGCAATTCTCCTGTCATTCTCATCTCATTCTCATTCTCATTCTCATTCTCATCTCATTCCCTGTCCACTCCGTGGACAGGGTTAATAGCAATTCTTAACCAGAATGGGGGGGATGTTTTGGGGCGCCTATCTTTCTGGGTGCCTGACCCAGTCGATGGCAGACAGAGTCAGGGCAGACACTGATGCCCAAGACTATTCTCTGTATCAGCCTAGATAGCTCCAGGGAGCCGAAGGGGCTCCCCCAGAAAGTACTATCTAAACAGGTGGATGGGTTGGTATATAAGTATAGTGCTTACAGTGGATGAGTTACACTGAGCCCTGCATCCTCCAAGAGACAGTTGTGGGTGTAGTGAGCAAATAAATATCATATAATAACTATGCAGATGAAAAAGTGCATGTGAGTGACAAGGTACAGTATATAGCACACAACATCTAGTACTTGACAGGTTTTACTATCTGCAGCTTTGACACTCACCTATACCCATTAGTTGACATACAACCTTGCTGGTGGGTGAGGGTTGTGCCAGCAAAGATCGCCACTCCAGAATGTGTACAGAGAGAAGTGATGTAGGGGTCCCTTGATCTCCTTCTTGTCTTACAACTGCTACAGTGATTGGAGCATCCAAAGTCAAGAGTTCACTATTATTGAGCATGTTGCAGTGATCTGTAAAAATTGGTTTGCTTTAGAATAAAAATAATTAAGGAAAGCTGAAAAAGTTATATAAAAATCGATTCTCTGCTTGTCTATGGACAAGCTTGTCTATTTATAAAAAAAAAAGTGTTGAATATAATGAAATGCCATTTTCTGGGTGAGTCCCGGACGCTCCCCGAAGCTATCCAGGCTGAATGGATAAGTATAACTTTCTGGCATCAGTCAATGTACATGGAGTTTTCACCTTCCAGGGACTATGACCCAGAACCTGGATCTGGCACCCAGAAAGGAAGGCGCCGCAAAACAAACCCCTATTCTGGTGAAACTATTGCTACCAAAAGCCGAACGAGTGGACAGAACACCCCAAACAAAAATTAGCAAGCAAGTATGATGTCATAATATTCCCACGCCATTGTCTGCGTAACCCCCCCCCCCTCCTCTAGAAGAGGAAGGGGAAGCCGCAGACCCTCAAGCCGGCGATCCAAGCACCAGTTCTTAGGCTGGATGTCAAAAGCATGCGAAAAAAACACCGCCGACCAGGGAGAGAGAGGGATGCCAGGAAGCCTCCGGGATTCACCCAGAAAATGGTGTTTCATTACATTCAACACTGATTTTCTTGGGGGAAGCCCCGTCGGCTTCCCGGAGCTAACTACCCAAAGACATGGAAAGACTGGGACTTACCCGGGAGGCGGACAGTCCTCACTCCTCAATGTCAAGTCGAGACAACTGGCTGCCACCGTCGACCCAATGCAACACAGGCCCTACCAGGCCCAAGGACATTCACAAGGTAGTGAGCGACCAACACTCTGTTCGACCTCCAAAAACCCTGGGCCCAAATGTCAACCCAAGACATTTTTTTTTTTTTTTGAGATATATACAACAGTTGTTACATTCTTGTACAGCCACTAGTACGCGTAGCGTTTCGGGCAGGTCCCTGGAATACGATCCTCGCCGCAAAGAATCGTTGTTACAACCAAGTACTCATTTTACTGTTGAGTTAAACAGAGGCTACAGTTAAGGATTTGCGCCCAGTAAATCCTCCCCGGCCAGGATACGAACCCATGACAAAGCGCTCGCGGAACGCCAGGCTGAACGAACGGCCAAAGCCGAACGATGTTTCCAAAGACGGCAGCCAAAGCAGCAAACTTACGAACGTCGTGGGCACAGGGATAGACCGCAGGCTGGTTCGACTTAATAACCCTGAGGACGACCTGAGAGATCCGAGCCCGGGAACAGGGAAGAAGGGAAACTGGGTCAACCCAAAGCACATCCCCAGCCACCGAAGCCGTGGTGCGCAAATAATGGCGGAGAGCCGCAACAAGACAAAACACATGATGCACCCCGGCCTCATCAACCAAGCATCAACGACCCAAGGACCAAATGAACAAATCCACAAGGGCCATGACATTTGTTCATTTGATGTTATCTTGAGGTTATCTTGAGTTGATTTCGGGGCTTTTCTGGGGGAAGCCCCGTCGGCTCCCCGGAGCTATCCCAGGCTGATATGCTAATGTCAGACTTTGGCATCAGTCATGTGTATGGAGTTCTTAGGCCTACCGGGGACCACGGCCAGAACCGGGCCCCCTCAGAGAGGCAAGGGGAGCAATGGCCTATAGAAGCCCCCGTGTAGTTGGAAGCATTCTATGTCTGCCATCGACCGGAACAGGCACCCAGAAAGGTAAGCGCCACAAAACAAACCCCTATTCTGGTTAAAATTGCTACCTAAAACCGAACTAGTGGATAGAACTCCCCAACAGAAAACAAGCAAACTAGTGTGACGTCACACCCTGCCGCGCCGCTGTCTGCGCAGCTCCCCCCTCCCCGGGAGGGGGAAGGGGGAGCCCCAGACCCCCCGCGCCGGCTACCCACACCTCAGTTCTTGAGGCTGATGCTATAGGCGATGGTCGTGTGCTCTGGCTCCGGTGTCGCTACTGCACTGTGCTTTGCGTGTGGTGTTAGTTTTGTGGGTGCGAGAGCCAGGAGTTATCTTCAGTACTCGGGCTGCATGCGCCTAGGGCTGCCTTCCCTAGGTGCCCTGTAAGTACTGCCCTTGGGGCTTGGGGCCACCTTCCACAGGCTCCTCGGGGTCTGCCTCTGCTGGTCCGTTTTACCTTTCGGTTTTTCGGCCGCCTGTTGGGCTCTTGGGTGTTCTGTTCTCCCTTGTTACCGGCAGGTAAGAGGCAGTTTGCACTGGTAGGGGCGCAGGGTGCTGCTCAGCTTGTATTTCCCGACATCGCGGCCGGCTCTGTTCTTTGGGGTTCGCTGTCCTCTTGCGGGGTTTTGTTTTTCTTTTTGTTTTTGCCTGGTGGGGGGTTCTGTCATTTTATTCAGTTTGTTTTTGCCCTTCCACTGTTCTCCTCAGTGGCGCCCCCTGCTAGGTCCCCGTGAGTGTACACGTCCCTGGGGTTCAGCTTTAGAAGTTTGCTTGGTAGTTTTGGGCGCCGGTTTGCAGCACCCTGCCTGGGACTACCTGAGCGCGAGTCCTCTTAAAGTAAACGCTCAGGACCCTGGGAATCCCCTAGGGGGCGCGTGGGTCCGATGGATGTGACCCCGGAGTCCCCACTCGCTGTGTGCGAGTTTGAGGGATGCTCGGTCCCCTTGTCTCAGGGTGACCCCTCATTGTTTTTGCCTCTGCCACGCTGCCTGTTGGGTCGGTGATACTTTCGACCCTGAGTCCTGTGAGTGTTGCTGCTTGCTTGTGACTCAATTTACCCAATCCTCTGATGATTCTATTCGGGTACGGGCGGCACGTGCGTTGCAGTCTAGGTTTCGTCTGTTGCAACGCGCTCGGTTGGTTGCTTCCCCGGATGCCCCGGGGCTGCCCCGCTTTGCTTTTCGAGACCCGGACTTGGGGGTGGGGGTCGCTTCGATCCTGGTTCAGTCCGCACCTCCTCGTCCTTCCCCTTCTGTTCGTTCTGGTCCCCCGCCCCTGCTTCCGGCCCCGAAGCGTCTGAGGGTTTCGGGGTCGGAGCAGGGGTTACTTGATCTCGAGACTCGGGCAGCTTCGGGGGTTGCCCCTTCCGGGGGGGCGGCAGAGGCATTCGAGTCTTGTCTCCCGGCCGAAGCTTCAGGGTCTGACCAGTGGGCCCCCCTTCCTCCAGCTTTTCCGGCTGCTCCGTCCTTCTCTTGTGGGGTCGGGGCTTGGGGAGAGGACTCGGCCTCGGGTCCTGTGGTGACGGACCTCGAGGCTGGGGAGGGGCTGACTTGGGGGCCTTGGGCCCCGCTGGACCCCGCCTGGGTTTTTCTTCCCACTGAGCGGGGCTTATTATTACAAGGAGTGGGGTTTTCTTTTCCCCCCTCTGCGTACGAGTTGGATTTGGTGTCGGCCCCTCCCCGGGTTCGGTTCCGTGTTTCCCCGGGTACGTCGGTTCCGTGTTTCCCCGGGTACGTCGGTTCCGTCCTTCTGGAGGTTTTCAGCTTATCGCATCCAACCTGGTGTGGTGCGAGCGGCTTTTGCAGCTTACCTCCTGCGTGACCCGGATTATGCCTCGGAAATGGATCCGTCCACGTTCAGGTTTGGGACTTCGTTCCCTTTCTGGCTCCGTTACGAGGTTCCGGAGTCGTCCTGGCTAGCAGACTGCCCCTTGTTTGGTCTGGATTCCTGGCATTCATTCTGTCGTTCCCGCACGCTGGAGTGGCGGGAAGCTTCCACGGTGCTTCAGGTTTTCCTGGGGGGTGAACTTGAGTACCTGAATGAGTGCTTGTTTGCCCCTGCCCTTCCCCGCGATGTGGGCGTTATTCAGCTCCATGTGCAGGTTCCCCCCCTTTCGGCGGCGCTCGTGGAAGAGGACTTGCGCGCCCGGGGCCTTTTGTGTTCGGCCTTGCGGTTCTTTTCCCTCCTGGAGCTGTCTTCGGATTGGCTCGTGGAGGATGTGGGGACGCTTGGGTCCGTCCCGGGGTCCGGCACCTTGTCCTCGGCTGCGCGTTCGTCGACTGCCTTGTTGAAGCTGTTCACGCCGATTTTGCGGGATGCGGTTTCCCTGTTCTATGCTTCCCGTCTCGCGTGTCGGCAGGCGGTGCTGGGTTCCTCCGTGGAATCTGCTTGGGCTCTGGCTCTTAGGCGTTCTTCACCTTTTTGTCCTCTCCTGTTTGGGGAGTCGGCCGTGGCGCAGTTTATTCAGGCTGCGTCGGCGGCTTGTCGTCCGATGTCGGACTTGTTAGTTTTCCGGGGGGCCCGGGGTGGGTCTTCCCGGAAAGGTCGTGCCAGGGCTCGGGGTTCCTCTCGTCGTGGTAGGCCTCTGGTGTCAGGTTTGGGGTTGGCTCCTCCTGCGGACCCTCCCTCGTCTGGTCGGCGCGGTGTTCGCGCTGTGCGGGGTTCTGGGTCTCGTAAGGGTCGCCGGCCCTTTCGCGGTTTGCCCCCTTGACGGGGCGATGGGGGGGCGGCTTGCGCTGTTCGCCCGCGCCTGGTCCCACGATTCGTGGGCCTTTCGGGTCGTGTCTCGCGGCCTGCGGTGGCGTTGGGTGGCCCCTCCCCCCTTTGGGGGGTCGGGGCTGGCAGGGCAGGCTTCTTCCCCTGCGCTCTGTCGAGTCGTCTTGGAGTGGGTACGCTTGGGCGTCGTCGAAACGACGTCGTCCCTCAGATGGGTTTCCCGTCTGTTTCCGGTTCCGAAACGGGACTGCGCGGACCTGCGGTTCATTCTGGACTTGTCCCGTCTGAACCCCTGGGTTCATTGCCCCTCCTTTCGGATGACTACGCTGTCTCAGGTTCGGCTCCTCTTGGAGCCGGGTGCTTGGATGGTGTCCCTGGACCTCCGGGACGATTATTGGCATGTCCCGATTCATCCGAGGTACAGGGACTGGCTTGATTTTGTATTGGGGCGTCTGAGTTACCGCTTTCGTTGTCTCCCGTTCGGGTTGAACCTGGCACCTCGCGTGTTCACACGCCTTACACGGGTTGTGGTGGCTCGTTTGCGTCTTCTAGGTGTTCGGGTGTTGGCCTACCTCGACGACTGGCTGGTTTGGGCTCCCAGCCAGTCAGCTTGATTGCTAGCCAGGGATTTGGTTCTTTCCCA